CAGCAGGAGAAGCAGGAGCAGCAAGAGCAGCACGAGCAGCAGGAGCAACCGCAGCAGCAGGAGCAGCAGGAGGAGCAGCAGGAGGAGGAGTCACGGCAGCGGCAGCAGCAAGAGCTGCTGCAGCAACACAGACGATCTATTCGAGAGGCCCTGCTGCTGGGGGAGCTGCCAATGTCCTTGCAGCAGCACCTCGGTGGCCTCAGCAGCAGCAGCAGCAGCAACGGCAGCAGCAGCAGCAGCCTCGACGAAGAGAGCGACACCACTATCAGCCTCGAGAAGGAAATCAACGGCATCAACACCGGCAGCATCCCCAGCGACAGCAGCAACAGCAGCAGCAGCAGCAGCAGCAGCAGCAAGTTGGTGGCTGAGGCTTCTCGCCTGATGGAGGAAGCAATGCTGAGAAAGCGCAGAGCCACAGAAGCACTAATTGCTGTTTTTGTGAAAGGAGAGCAGCAGCTGCAGCAGCAGCTGGTGTCTCTCATGTCCATGCTGCAGCAAAGCAGAGCAGAAGACCTGCAGCAGCAGCAGCAGCAGCAGCAAATGCAAACACAGCTGCGCATGCTCTCCCACGAGAAGTCGGCCCTGCGTAGCAGCAGCCACCAGGGAACAAACAGCACACAGCAGCAGCAGCAGCAGGAGCAGCAGCAGGAGCAGCAGCAGCAATGGGAGGAGCAGATGCTGGAAGGGCAGCAGCAAGAGGCTGAGCTGCAGCAGCAGGACCTGCTGCTGCTGCGTGCGGAGCAGCAAGCCGTTGCCGCTGCTGCTGCTGCTGTCCATGATGTGCTGCAGCAGGCGCAGCAGCTAGCAGCAAAGTCGCTGCAGCTGTACACCATAGAGCGGAAGCTTTGGGACATGCAGCTTGCTGCTGCGACGCAGCAGCAGCAGCAGCAGCACGTTACTGCTGCTGAGCCTGCAGCAGCAGCAGCAGCAGCAGCAGCGACAGAGCCAACAACGGCAGCAGCAGCGTCGGCAGACAGCGCAATTCTTGTGCGTTCCCTTGCTGCTGCTCCTGCTGAGGGCACAGCAGCAGCAGCAGCAGCAGCAGCAAAGTGCCCCATTTCTTTTGCTGCGCTGCGCATGCAGCCCCAAGGAGAAGCTCTTTTGAGGGCCCTTAAGGAGCGCTCAGGAGAGCGGCAGCTGCTTGCTGCTGATTTGGCGCTGCTGTGCAGCAACGCGCAGCAGCAGCAGCTGCTGCCTCCCTTCTTTGCTGATTTGCTGCAGCACTTTCCCCTTGCTGCTCTCTGAGGTTTAGGGGCAGCCGGAATCCGCTGCAGCAGCTGCAGCAGCGGCAGCAGCAGCTGCAGCTGCAGCAGCAGCAACTGCAGCGGCCACAGGCACAGTAACCGCAACAGCAACAACAGCAGAAGAAGTAGCAACAACGACAGCAGCAGGAGCTGCAACAGGCACTGCAGCAGGAGCTGCAGCAAGACCTGCAGCAGGAGCTGCAGCAGGAGCTGCAGCAGGAGCTGCAGCAGCAGGTCGAGTGTATGTACATGCTGTTCAGGTGTCTGTACACCTCAGCAGCAGCAGGTAACGCGCAATTGTTGCTTCTTTGTAACAAATGAATTAAATTAAAATACAAACTAATTCAAGGATATGCATTTATCTCCAAACAAACTTTGCGCCTAAAAGGTGGGCCCGACGCCCCTCCAAGCCAAGCGGCTGCAGCAACTACAGCCCCACAGCAGCAGCAGCAGCAGCAGCAGCAGGCTGCTGCTGCTGCTAGGGCTGCGGGGGCTGTTTTTCGGGGAGGGTGAGGGCCTTCCATTGCCTACTGACTTATCCACTTCCCAAACAGGTGTACACAGAACAGCAGCAGCAGCAGCAGCAGCAGCAGCAGCAGCAGCAGTAGTACGAATAGAAGCAGCAGCAGCAGCAGCAACAGCGATGTCAGCAGCAGCCGTAAGAGTGAAGCTGCGCAGCAGAAGACAACATTAAGGCAGCAGAGCAAATAAATGAATTAAATGAGAAAAGCTAAAAATCAAATAATGAATTAAATGGAAAAAATAATAAATAAACAAAAAAGCGAAATGAAAAACAAAAAGAAGCACTTGCTGCAATTGCTGCAGCGCTGCGGTGTACGTACACCGCACCAACCGACACAAAGAGCAGCTAATAAATGAAGCTGTTGCTGTTCAGTAAATCAATTAAAATGAAAAAGGTAAAAGATAAATAAATTAAAATGAAAATAGTAAAAGAGAAGTAAAATTAAAATGAAAGAAACAAAAGAGAAACCTAATTGATAACATTTTGAAAATTTGGGGTGTATGTACACCTGCGCCGTTCTGAAATGCCGCTCAACTGACTTTTCAATTTCCTTTCTTTTCCAGAAAATAGAAAGAATAAAAATAAAACAAAAAGAATTAATTTCTTGAATTATAATTCTGGAATTAAAAATACACAAAAGATGAACATTCAAGCCCTCGAAATTAATATATTTCTTCCAAAAAAGCTCAGTAATAATAAATAATAAAAAATAAATAAAAAACAAAAGTCTCCCCGCAAAAGTCGCCGCGTGTTTGAATGGTCAAATAAGGAAAAGTTTTATTTTTATTTATTTCATTTCCTTAAAGTCCATTTCTTGTCAAATAAGAAAACAAATATTCTATTTCAGTCTACTTTAATTTATTTTGATTTAATGATTTATAGTCCAAATGCTTCTTTGTTGTCTAACAAAAAATAAAATTTAAATTAATTTATTTAATTTTAATTATTTAAAGTCAAGTGCCTTTTTTGTGGCCTTTAACCCCACAGGGGCCCCCAGAGGGAAAATAAATAAATCTCTTTTTCTAATTTTCTTTTGATTCATTTCCTTTCTTTTTAAATTTCTTTTGTCTTCTCTTTTTTCTCCACTCAAAAACCCTCAGACAAATCCAAAAGTCCCACCTGCAGTACCCAGCAGGGGCCCCTCTTGGGGGCCCCCTAGGGGGCCCCTTCAAGTACACATCAGGGGCCCCCTAGGGAGGCCCTAGTGGGTACTCGAGGGGGTCTCTAGAAGAAAAAGGGGCCCCTCCAAAAAATAAAAGTCTTAGGGGCCCCATTAATACCTTCAGAGGGCCTCTGGGGCCCCTACGGGCCCGTAGGGCCTTTACTGGGTACTGAGGGGGGCCCCCAGTGCGAAGGGGGCCCCCACTACTTAGGGGTGCTCAAATGGCACTTCGGGGCCCTTTCTAGGCCCCGCAAAGGGCCCCTACTGGGTACTCGGAGGTCCCTTAGGGGGCCCCCAGGGGGGCCCCCTAAGGGACCCCCAGGGGGGCCCCAAGGGTTTGGGGGTGCCCCCAGTGCCTAGGGGGCCCCCAGAGGCCGCTACGAGCCCCTACTAGCTCCCTTGAAGGGCCCCTACTGGGCTCTGGGGGGGCCCTGCAGCTACATTGGAAAGCCTCTATGATGGGTACCTGGGGGCCTCTAATTGGGGGCCCCCAAGGGGCCCCCGAGAACAGATTAAGGGCCCCCAAGGGCCCACCTTTGGCTCCGGGCCCCCCCCTGCTTCTGCAGCAAATCCCAATCCCCCAAAAGCGCATTTGGGATTCCTAAAAGCCACTCATGGGGCTCCCAAGGACCAATTAGGGGCCCCCAAGGGCCCCCTTGGAACCCCCAGGGCTAATTAGGGGCCCCCAAGAGGCCCCTTGGGGCCCCCTTGAGGCCCCCAAGG